CATTGATATCCAGTTGAGCAGTTGCAAGTATAAGAGCCTACTGTATTGATACATTGCTGATTTCCAACACAAGAGTAATCTTGAGGGTTATTACATTCGTTATAATCTGAAATAAAATGTGATATTAGATTTTATCATAATACGATTAATATTGTAGCCCATAGTAATTATGATTTATTTTAAAATAAAGGGCAAAATTGTAATAAATTTGCTCCAAAAATTAAATTATTTACATTTAACAGGATTTCAATTCTAATTATATTTAACGCTTACGTTCTACATCATTATTTACTGTATGAGTAAAGATTGAATGATATTTTGTAAGCTTATAAGCTGAAAGTAACTGTGGTATCTTAATTTACCAGTGACATTAACACTTTGCACTACATAGCTGCTAATAGCTCCTGTCTGGATAATATTCTTCAACAAGGCTGTTCCTTGAGTGTAATTCTTTAAGACTGTAAGGATACAGTCAACAACAATACCGCCTAGCCTAGATATAGATATAATTTATACTTACTTATTTTAATACTGTAATAAATCTTAATGAATTAAAAAAATAATAGTGGAATACACAGATTAAAGTTTTATTTAAAATGCCATTCTATTATATAATTTAAATTAGATATTTAAATTTAATAGATTTACCTAAGATTAGTAAGATTAGTAATAGTAACGACTTTGACTTCGTTCGAGGTTCGTGAATCGTTTTGATATGCTGATGAAATCTATAACATTAAGTCATATAAATTAGTGATATTGATAGTATTTACATCGTATATAGTATTTTAATTAATTGATGCTATCTTGATAAGATTTATGCTTAAATACTGTTTATAAAATATATATCATCTCATATGTAGAAAAGAATTGGGTGATGCTACCAACATTTGAATCATCATATAAAGTTACGCGCGTACAAGTAAAAAAGTAAATGTAGCCCATGTCTTACGATTAGTTACTTACAGCAGTATGTAATTTAGATACTTCATTTTTATAAGCGGTGCTGTTTTTATCGTTCATAAGAGCATTAAATGGCGCATCAATTGTAATAGTAAGTTCGTAAGCAGTCTCTTCTACTCAGTCAAAAAATTAATAGGATTTTTGTAGTCAATATAAGAGCAGATTGATCTTACTTGATTTTCTACATTCGAATACAATATCAATTTTAGTAATTACTTTGACAGCTGTTTCCGTTTAGTATATTTGAGGTAGGTGATGTGGAATAAAATCCAGGCTTGCATTGACAGTTATAAGATCCAGCCGAATTGAAACAATTGGCATTATTGCCGCATGAATTACTGCTACTGCATTCATTTATATCTGTAATATACAAGGCATACATTGTTTGTCTAACTGCTTGATCATAATAATCAGTTGTTTTTAATTTGAAACAGGCCTAGTAATGAACTTTCTAGTAATTTGTAAAATTCATCTTACCGGTACAAGTTTTGCCATTTCCTGTATAACCGGAATTGCATGAACATATATAAGATCCAGGTGTATTTTGACAGTTGGCATTGGAATGACAAGGATAGGATGTACCACATTCATTTATATCTGCGAATAGTAGGAATACATAAGTGTTCTTTAAACATATATAAGCTATTGATATAACTAACTACAATGACTAATGCGTTTGCGTAAATATACAGCTAAAATTGGCATTTATTCAAATAAAAGCTTTCCAGAAATATACCAGAGCATGTTTTTCCGTCTATGTTAAGTGAATATCCGATTGAGCATCTGCATTGATATCCGCCGAGAGTATTATTACATAACATTTGACATGTATCAGTCTGATCTGCGCATTCATCAAGATCTATGGAATATTGGAAATTCTGTAGTTAGAGATAGCTCACAATCTCAATATTAGTATTTATATTAATGAATAAAAACGATTTTGATCAAGATTGACGATAACAATAATGATTACTAATAATACTGATGGCTCATTAAACTCTCACAACCGTTACCTTTGCAACTTACGCCATCGGGCTGCAATACATATCCATTCTTACACGCACATTGAACTTTTCCGTTGATAAGAGTACAGGACTCAGAACAGTTATTATTGCTACTACAGGAGGTTGCCGCTATAATAATTTGGTCAAAGAACACCTCTAACTTAGGATCAACCTATTGCCTTTGCTATAAATGAACGACTACACATAACATATACCTTGATACGTTATAGGCTAACTGTAAGGATAATTTTACACTTTTAAATAATTGAAAGCTACTTATTCCTATCATGAGAATTTACGTTATAAGCTATTTCAAAATCCAGAAAAGGACATTTTTTAAAGGTTCTTTACGTGTACGATAGCAAAAATATGCTATAATAAGCATCGTAATGTACCTATGCAGGTTTTATTATCACTGTTGAGGTAAAATCCAGAATTACACGAACAAAAATAACTGCCATTGGTATTGGTACAATTTTGGCCACAGATCTGTGAGTTCTTGAAGCACTCATCAATATCTATAGGTGCCATAATAAAAATTCATGAGTACTAGTTTTTATATAGTATCGAAATATTAAATATTGCGCTATACTACATGAATGTCAGCTGATTAAAGAAGAAATTTTATTTCCGTTGTTTAATTATTATGCGCAAAAATCAGAACTTAGCAAGGTATAAATGTATATATAAGATGTACTGAATATTCATGTACAGCTTCGGAATTGGATAGAATTTAAATGCCTAAACTCTGCTAATCGTTTATATATTGTGAGTGATTATCTTGCGACGACATATAATATATTACTGAGATAAATCCTACCTAAGCAAGTCTTTCCATCAGCGTTTAATTGATAACCAGATTGACAATCGCAGGTATAGCCTCCGATGGTGTTGACACAGACTTGTTGACAGTTGTTTGTGGCTGAACTAGCGCATTCATCGAAATCAGAGCACAATATACCATCTCCTGTATAACCTTGTGGGCAACTGCCGCATGTATAACCGGTTAATGGAGCTACATTATCTGTACAAGTTACATTCTCGTAACATGGGAAATTAGCACAGCTATCAAAGTCGACAGTGCAATGATCTCCGGTCCATCCATCCGAACAAATACATGGGACCTGAGATACGCTACCATCTTCTATGGTTTCTCCACTATAAGCAGAAGCAAAGCGTAGTTCAAAGTAACATAGTTATATTCTAAGATATGTAAATATATTTTTACTCTAACTAAATTAATGAATATGGTTAATAACTTACGTGTAGTCACAAGTACCACCGTTAGCGCAATAGCACATGATAATTTGTGCAGGACTGTAGATACTGGCTGCGTTCTTAGAATCTTTGGCCACGATTTGGATGCTAATATTGGTGTAAGTACTAACATTCCAAGTAAATTGATAAGTTGTAGGATTAAATGATGCGCCTAGAGGAGCGCTGTCTGCAGTAACAGTCACAGTATCGCCAGTATTAGGATCAGACACGCTTAATGCTGTAGTGTAGACTTCTCCAAAGGTAACATTTAATGTAGTAGGTCCAGTAATAACAGGTGGGAAATTTTCTGTTGAAAGACAAAATCAGTATACAGTAATATCATTTAAATATATTAATAAAATTGCTAGATGATTACAGAAGAAATTAAATAATTAGAAAAATGATGATATTTTACCTGCTTGATTTTCCGCTTCTTGGTAGCCGTCAGCTGTATCTTTACCTTGTACAGCTAATTTTACATTTAGAGTTTGACTAGCATCATACAAGCATGGGATATTGT